ACACCTTTTCGTACATGCTTCTAATGCTTCTTACACATTGCTGTTCAGTTAGCATCTTGTCCAGTTGCTTCTCTAATTTCTGAATGCGCAGCACAACGCTGCGATTGCCAGTGACAGCTTCAAGCGGCGGCGTTTTGTCTGCCTCTTCCTTGAGGCGACGCGCCATCTCGTTCTCCCGGAATTTCTCCTCTAGTTTCTCTAGTTGGTGCGTCAGACGATTGAGACGTCGTAGCTCAATGAATTTACACTGCTCAAGCTGCTCCAACTCCACCGCTGTCACATCGCTCGTCCCGGCACGGATAGTTCGCAGGTGTGTGTTCTCGTCATGCATCTTCCGAATAGCACGTCGGTTGGCGGTGCTCCGTTGCTGAAACTCCCGCTCCAGCCGTGCCTGCTGCGTGGCAAGTTCCCGGAGACGCTCGGTGTATGACTCCACTTCGTCTTTTGGAACATCGGAGAAAACGGCACGCCGCACCCCCGCACTATCCCCACGCTTCTTCTGTCGTTTGTTCTTCGCTTCCGACCTCGGGCCATCCATTACGCTCTGTGGACGCTTCATTGCCTACCGCCTTCTTTTTCTCCTCCTTTACTTTCAGACCCCGCTATTTGTATATCTATCTATCTATATGTATATTATATGTTCAATGCGGGTCTGTGCAGACACGTAGGGTGGGGTGGAAGAAGAGGGCTCCAATGCACACACACACACAGAGAGAGAGAGAGAGGGAGAACGTGAGGTAAAGACAATTACAAAACCACCACCAAAGAAAGAGAAAAACAACAACAACAACAAAAGGTCGTGAAAATAACACGCACACACACACACACACAAACAAAAAGGAGGAGAGATGCTGCATGGTTGGCAACAACAGCAGTAGGAAGACATCAAATGCCAAATTACAATTTGGAAAGAGTGAAAAAAGGAATAGAAGAAACAAAAACAACAACAGCAACAGCAACGACAAAAAAAAAATAATAATCAAAAAACACATGAATGCCAAATGACTGTGGTCCACAGGTGTGAAGGCACAAACACACACTGACATTCATTTTTTGTAATGCCACGCAAAAACAACAACAACAACAAACAACGGGTCTCTCCTTCTCCCTACACTTCTGCCTTATATCTCTCTCCTTCCCTTCAATCCACGGACAATAGGAGGTGGGCTGATGCAGCGTCTCACAGACTCAGTTCGTGGTGCCCATGCAACATATCCAAATATCGCATCCATACCGCCGTGAATAATTGTCAGAAAAAAAGGAATAGAAGAGAATACTTCTTTTCGTTTCTTTTGTTTTCTGCAACATCCTTCTAAAAGACACCGTAGCTGAGGCTGGGTGTCAGTTGAAGTCCACGGTGCATGTCGGAAATCGTGCCTTCGCCAGGCCAATTTGCTCCTCCGTGATCTGCTCATCCCTGGCCCGCCAAAACGACAGGAAGCACGACGGCACACGCTCTGCTGTGGTGAACATACGTTGGGTCTCACTGACAAGTTCGTCCAAGGATTGCCAGAGGGCCTCCCGATTCTCACGGGCGACACGTTCAAACACAGCGGAGTACCGCAGGGCAAAAGTCACACACATCGGGCGCACGCGCAAGTCCCCAGAAGGAATGCCACCACACACCCCGTTATTATCACTGCTCTCATCATCACCGGCGTCCGCATTGTACGCTGCGAGTCGCTGCAGAAATTCACGCATCCGAACAATATCCTCCAAAGCGTAGGAATTAAAGGAACCAGGCAATCTCCAGCCAAACGACAGTCCAAAGCCCAAACGAGATGCAAAGGCATGGATCATTGCATGAAGTTTTACCTCCGAAAATTCGCTAAACGATCGGGGATTCATAGAGATCTTTACCGTGTCATCATGGCCCGCCGCAACAATGTCTGCGTTCCACCAAAATAAAAAATTTGTGCTCAGTTTACCATACAGCGTGGAGGACTGGGCAAACAACCGATGCGCCATGGAAGCGGCGTCGGGATCTTTGAAATCCAGTTTCACAACGCCTAATCTTCCTGACCGTAGCCGCACGATACTTGCCAGCTCTTCTAACCAGGCGGCAAGAGTAACGCATGTGGACGCCTCCCCCGCGGGAATTGGGTCATGGTGCAGCAAAGGCTCCATTTTTTCATCGTCCGGCGCCACACGCACATCCGCCTCAAGGCCCACTGGGCATTCCTCTGTGCCACTAGAAAGAAGACTTGCAGCTGCATGCAGTGCGGCCAATGAGTTCACGGCGTGTGCCCAGCTCTGTGGGACGCAATTATTCACCACATTGACAGTGCCAAACATCATCCTTTTCTCTGCTGAACGTAATCCCCTTTTACTTTTGAATTTTTTCTTTTCCTCTGCCTTTCCTACTGTTGCCGCAATTCATTCAACGCCAAAGGTCCTTCTCATAAAAGACGATGGGACGTAAAAACAAACAAATAAATAAAAAATCAAGAAGGCACAAGATACACACAATGAACAGCAACTAATAACAAATCCAAAAGGATCGCGCAGAGCATTGCGCCTCAGTAAATTCTCTTGCACGCACGCACAAAAGCAACAAGAGCGAGGGAAGGAAATACTCCTCTCTCCTCAGTGCAGTGTAACCTTGGCTTTGCCTGTCGTTTTCGTCTTCGCCCTGTTAAGCACCTGCATGCTGCTCTCTACTCGTTTCCGCATCAATGCATGCATGTACGTTCTACCGGCATGAATGTGATAGGCGAGTGTGCTACGGAAGTTTACAAGCTGGGTGACGGTCTCTATGAGATGCTCTTTGGGTTCCATGTGTCGCCGGAAAAGCTGAAAACTGCACCAAAACACACTCGCATCCATCAAAGATGACACGGGTAGATTCCCTGGAAGGGAAGCAGGAGGCTTACCGTGGTCAAACACGAATGCAGGTGCCGCACTGATCTCCCGCTGTAGTTTTTTTGCATCCATCATGGCCTGCAAAAAGTGCTTTGTAAATACTGCTTCATCCTTGGATGCGGAGCGCAATGCGATGGCGACAATGAAGTTTCCCTTGCTGCTAAACAGCACCATCGCTTCCTCCGTGTGGTAGTGCAAAACAACAGGCTTCAGGGAGGCCTCTGGCTGCGACAGAAACAGCTCGCACTGTCTGGCAAACACAGGGATATAGCTCCATATCCGCAACTGCGCTGCCGACTGCAGCGCCTCATTCCGCACGGTTGCTGCAACACCGGCGGGTATGTGAACCTCCGCCACGAAGGCACCGTCGCTACGGCTGTTCGCGTCATTCATCACAAACTTCCGCGTGTCGGTAGAAAAAAGCGTCGGAAGAACGTCATCAAAGTTGCGATGGGCATTCAATTCTCTAAATGGTGTGGAGTGCCGCAGCGCGATGGTGACGGCGGCAAAATGCGCTTCTCTCTGCGATGCGGGGTGAGTTCCGATTTCCTCTTCCTTCTCGTTGATTCGCGACGCCTTCCACTCGACATGAATGTGATACTCACATCCGTCAAAGTCCCGCACGACCGCGTCAGGGGTTTTGTTCGCTCCTGTCAAGATGCGGTCCACGGCTGCCTGAATCGACGGGTGAACCCTCTCCAGCAAATACATGGATGCACACTCAACTGCCACATGTACAGGAAAAAAAAAAAGAAGAATAAAAAGAAAAACAATAATAAAAATAATAATAAATAAATAAATAAAGAAGTAAAATAAAATAATACAATTTTTTCAAAAAATGAAACGCAAAACATACACACAAAAAACACAAAAACGAAAAAACACATGTCTACACCACCCCTATGGCCCAAATCTACACACCTCATACAGGTATAGATACAAACACACACACACACACACACACACACAAATTTCATCACCCAGCAAATTCCCTCACATTGCAGTCCTCGCAAACCAAGAAATAAAAGACAGGCGCAAAACACCCACGCAACGACCGGCAGTAGGGCGATGGCGCAGCAGCAAATAATGGACTCCGTTCAGCCACAATACTCCACACCTGACGATTATCGCCGTGGGTGGAGTCTTTGCCTGCTCTTTTGCAATTTTGCATGTGGGCATCCAGTGTCGCAAAAAAGCGGCGAAGCAGCGCGCGTCCGCTAATGCCAGAGGAGGCCATGGTGCCATCTTGCACCAACACCTCGTTGTGTGGGCATGCCGCGCCATTTGAGCACAGAAAACCATCGGTTTCCCCCCCATGGGCCATATTGGCACCATCCCCTCTCTCCGCACACACCAAAAATCCATCCGCGCACCACGGGCAGCGCAGCAGTGGAGACCCCGCCGCAACCGATGACAAAATGCACCCGCCCTCGCCGCGGCTCCGTTTAACCCCCCGTGCCGCGCCCATTGGGCAGAAAATTGCCAACAAAATAAATGAGAACTTCGCCCCTGTCTCTCTCTCTCTCTGTTTGTGTGTGTGACGTTTTCTTCTTCCCGCTCACCTCCACTTACGGGCGGCCAGCGTCGCTCCTGCCACGCCACGGAAACAAAAAACAAACAAACAAAAAAAGAAAGGGAAAGACGGCTGATTTTCACCCATCACACGTGCATCGATCCCCGTCAACTCGCATACACACACGGACAGACAGACAGAAGGAAATAAATTCAGACGAAAAGCAGAATTTGTCCGTCGTCTTCATCCCTAACCCTTGCACAACACTCTCTTTTCCCTCCATGCACCCCATACAGTTTCCTTGGCACGAAACTCTCGTACAGAAAAAAAATAAAAATATGCCCAGTTTCTTGAATGAAAAAATGCCCTTCCTTTCATTCAATTAATGTCACCCTCCATAAAACAACAACACCAACAAAAAATCATGATTTCTCTTTTCCCTTTCTTCCCTAGCCCCTTGTTCAGTTAATTCCCCCCAAATAAAATAATAACAAAAAAAACAAACATGTATCCACGCGTGGCCTTTCTACGTGCATATTTGCTAAAAAACAACACGGCCGTGGTATTTTTTTTGGGACGGGGAGCGGGTTTCCCTCCCCGCGTTTTCCTTCTACCTCCTTCACTATTACCCCACGGCAACAATGGCCTCCAGGGCGATTTGAATGGCGTTTTTGAGCGCCTGGCCTGACTGCTCCGAGGTCGTAAAAAGATGCTCTGCGCCGGCGCGCTTCGCCACAACAACGCACATCGACCCCGCCTGGTACCCAAGCAGATGGGAGAGGAAGCACACCGCGCTCGTCTCCATCTCAATGTTGGCCACAATTTCCTTCCCCTCACTCACGTCAAACTGGACTTTCGAGAGCTCCTCCACCAACTTTGGCACCAGGAGGTGCTCGCGGAAGCGACCAACAGCACGCCCCTGACAGGCGTAAAAACCACTCGCGGTTGCGGTTGCACCAACAACATACAGCTGCTCCGTTGCCCCAGCCGGCAGATTATCATTGAACGCCTTACACGCAGCCACAATACCATTCGTTATGGCGGGATGTGCCTTTGTGGCATACACGTCGATGGCACCAAGGCTGGTTTGCTCCTTCACCACACGCTGCACCTCCTGCAGATCCTTAGACTTCTGCATCTGTTCCTTGACCTTGTAGTACAGGCATGTATTGTCCATACCAATGACATGGCGCGTGATGGCGAGGGCTGCGAGCGGCATGTCAGGAAACGGTGAGCCGCAGGTACCGACACGAATCATTTTTACGGACGATGGATCAAACACCTTGGCGCCTGGCGGTACATCCGCATCGCCCACACGTGGGCGCCACGAACAGCGCTCAAAGTCATACTCCTTCAGCAGATGGATCTCGTTGATGACAATCTCCACGTTGTCAGTTCCCATCCCCGTACTCAAAACGGAGACGGGCGTGCCCTTGTACGTGCCGGTGGCAATAAATATTTCACGGTTCTCGCTGCGGAACCGTACACTGCCCGCATCAAAGCACGCCGCCACGGTATCCACGCGGCCAGGGTCGCCAACCAAAAGGATGCGGTCTGCCAGCTGATCAGATTTGCAGTTCAGGTGGTATGTGACCCCATCGGCGGTGACAGGGAGATCCGGGTCCTTCATCAGACCGTGCGTGTGCGTCGCTTTAGACATGAGGGTTGTACAACAAATTTACACTGACTTTCTACAACGACAGACGAACAAACAACCAGAAAGACGCGACAAATGCACCAAAACAAGGAGTATGCGAGAACGAAGGCGCGTCACACACACACACACACACACACACACACACACAGAGAGAGAGAGAGAGAGAGAGAGAGAGAGAGAATTAAATCGACTGTTTATATAATTAAGCAACAACTACAACAAAAGCAAAGAATATGCAGGTTGAAATGGCACAAGCAGAGTCCGAGCAATGTATAATGTGCGGCACGGACACAGACTCATGTATCTATTCGAGTGTTTATAGTTTCAGTTAAATTCATGTCTACTGGCAATAGGGCACAATCCATCATGAATACATATATATACATACATGCATGCATACACAAACATAATTATATATAAATTTAAATGTCGTGGGAAAAAAAAAAAAAGAATGGGACTGGGTTTTTGGTCTCCTTTTCAACACTAAGAAAGAAGAAAAAACTCAAGAAGGAAATTGCCACCCCCCACCCGTTTCCCATTTCTGGCTTCTTTTGTTTAAAGATTTTCTCAGCATCCACACAAAAATTCTTCTCTAAAGGACTCAACAAAAACAACAACAACAAAAAAGACACAACAGAAGGGGGAGGAAACAAACAAACAAACAAAATGACGTCCACATCGAAAACAAAAGAAAAAAGAAAAGCAAAGACAAAAGAAAAAAAAAAGTATTGTGCAACCAATCCCCCAACACACACACACACACACACCAGCACCAGCGGCAGCGGCAGCGGTAGCGGCAGCAACTTAAAGGGTAAAAAAACAACAACAAAAACAAAAACGGCCATCATTCGCTGTGATTTTGGCGGTGTTGGCTCTTATCGGCCCACAGCTTCGCGTATTCATATGAAGTGGACGCCAATACGCCGTCTATAAGACACGTTCCGATGTTAAGAGCGAGTCCAACGTAAAATCCCCGCATACCTTGGGTCCGGTAAACATCACGCACTACACCCCACAGTCGGGCTTTTGGCTTCACTTGCAAGTTTGCTCGCACGACCAAGTACGGATTGAATAAGACTGCCGTGCTAGCGCTTGTAACAAGCGATGACACGGAGTTCAGTACAATGTTATCGTCCTTCGCCAGCAACCAGTGTTTCCATGACGAGAACGATGATGCGGATAAGTTCAAGTTGTCTTGATTATCCACCTCTAAAAATCCATCGGCGGCCTCGTACAGCCAGCCTTTGGTGTATCCATACATGGCCCACCACACCGCTGTCCACTGACACCCAACCAACAACGTTGTGCCGTAGCCTGCGAAAACAGTGCGCATTCCGTTCTCACGGTACATTAACAAAATTGTACGGAAAATACCACTTGTCTTATATGTGCCACCAAACATCATCTTATTTGCCGTCATCTGCCGCAATGCGACAATACTAAGTGGAAGATGTATCAATCGACAGACGGCGTCGGATACGTATCCCGATACCGCATCCCGTGTTGCTTCAGACTTCATAGGAAGTCGTTCTCGACTGTATTCAAAGAGCCAAAGATAAAGCGCCTCGCTGAGGGCACAGCCTAATGTTAGAGCAAACATTCCTTGCATCAGGCCACGCATCCCTCCTTCGGCACCGTACACATATCGCACAATTTGCATTGTCGTCATAGATCCAGCGATGGGGCATGTTTGTTGACGAGCCAAGGCAAGATTAAGAGGCTGCTGTAGTGCTGTCCGTATCCAACAGAAAACTGCGGCGTATAGGAGAAACTGCAAGCTATTCAAGTCCGAGTAACTCCTGTTAACGCTATTCGTGTGCTCGTGTGGTCCAATCTCCGTGGTGTGTAGAGTCACTGCATGAAGTGACGTGTTGGAAACGTTGTAATTCTCTATGGGAACCTCATTCTGCGTAATAAGACCAGGACCGTACATCGCCAATCTTATCAACAGAGGGAAAACAAAATAAACAGCAATAACAAATCCCCTTTTCTAACAAAACTAAAAAAAAAAAAAAAAGAGAAAAAAAAACACTACAAAGAGCAAACAGACAAAAAATGCCTGCTACTCACAAGAATTACTGATATCTACTAAAGTTTCTTTCTTTCCTTCTATATAATATTTTCTATTCCTGTTTAATTTCCTTGTGTTGTATTTCCCCCACACCAACCCCCTTTTCCTCTGGCAGAGCCACTGGATTTACCTACGCGAGTTGCACACGGTTAAAAGAAGAAGAAAGCGATATAAGAGAAGGTGGGAAGATTGACGTTACATGTACCATTGCAGTCCACTCCCTTCTGCTTACAAGCATATACACGTATACATCCTATATATATATATATATAGGATGTACGGCATCGGATTTAATTAAATGTAAGTAAGTACTGACTCTCATTCCTTTCCTTCTTTGTAACCTTGCAAGCGGAGATGATCATCAATTTTTTCTTCTTCCTTCTTCATTTATTTTACACGTTAATTCTTTGTGTGCGCAGTTTTTTTTTCTTTTTTCCCCTTTTTGTCACAGTCGCGTTCGCCACTTCTGATCCCGGCAGCTGCTCCCCACCACCACCACCACCACCACCACCTTCATTTTTGCCTCACCCACTTATAGAGGTCCCCAAACGGCGACTCTTCTTGGCAGTGGCAACTGTCCTCTTTTTTTTGTTTCCTGCTTGAGATGCCGTCGGGGCGGAGGATGGGGAGGCAACTGCGGTGCTATCGCCCATAACAGACTTTTTCATTCTTCTCTGCCCAGTCGCAGTGGCGGCGGCTGTCCCTGAAGACAACAAAGATGACGACACAACTGTTAATTCCACGTTATTTCTTTTATCTGTGGCGTTCTTATCGTTTCTATGGGCCTTCCTCGCCCTTTTCTTTTTCCGGATGATCAGATGGCCAGGAATCTTCTTCAGTTGCTCTTCAAATCCGTGGTACTCGTATTCAATACCAAGACGCTTCAAGTGCTCATTGTTCGCCTTCTCCACTCTGGTGTATTTAATGAGTGCTGCAATGGGGTTCTTCTTGCGTATATCATGATGGTGGAGAGGTGCACCTCGTGTCTTGTACGCGTACGCAAGCTGTCGTCGCTGGGCAATCTTCTCCTTTGACGGCATCGCACGGTGTAAAGTGACGACACTCGCTTGAACAGCACGGCCGCCAAGTGACATGCCGTGACATTCCTCCACCACCGTCGGGAGCACTGCTGGGGAATCAAACTGGACGTACGCAATACCCTTCGATTGATGTGTTCTTCGGCTCCGTACACAGAAGCAGTTCAGCACCTCTGCGCCAAACTGCGAGAGGAACTTGAAGAGCTGTGGCTCCTGAAAATCCGGCGGAAGAAAACGAAGACGTAGCGCCTCGTAAGACAACCGCGTCCCTTCACGCTTTGACTTCTCAAATGGATTCTCCCACTCCTCCTCCTGACTTGTCTCACTTTCGTTCTCGTTGTCGGCAAGCTCGCTTAAATTCTCCTCTTTCTCACTATCAGAGTACACATAATGCACATCCGACTCCTCTTCCTCGTCGTCATGGAAATCGTGAGCAGCGGTGTCGTCGTCCTCATCCCCCTCCCCGTCTTCCTCCTCACGGGGACGTTTTCTGGCTTCGATGATGCCGCCCACGATGGCACGCTTCGTTGCCGCAGCGGAATTCTTTGTGTTTTTCACGGCTTCGGATTCACCGGATGATTTCCTCTTCGGGACGTCTGCTGCTTCAAAACTTACACGACGATGCGGCGTTTTACCCGCCGTGCGCACAGTAACCGTCTCGACAGCCGTCCTCGCCGAGTTCTTGCTTTTAAGTCCCATCGACAAGCCGGTGGGGCGCTCAGTTCTCCGTCAGACTCAAAAAAAAAAAAAAAAAAAAGGAAAACAAACAAACAGACAGAAAAGAAACATCATGACATCAACTCGGAAGAAACAGAAATAAAAAGGGACTTCACAACAATGTTAAGTGGGAGTTAAGTGAATGGGGGGAGAAGACCAAATGAAGCAACAACGACAAAAAAACATGTATGCATGACTTTCAGTTTTTACTGCAACTTCTGCCTCTGAAAGTTTTGTTCTGTCTTTTTGTTTTCCGTTATTTCTCCTCGTCGCCATTGATTACATCTATCGGTATAACCGAGACAATTCAACATCTGACACCACGGTGAAGAGGGCGAGTATGGACAAAAAAAAAAAAAGGAAGAGCGAAAAGGCACGAACAGCCAGCAGTATTCGTGTATTCGGGTTTTCGCGCTTTTCATTGGGCTACGCTTTACCCACTCCTGCCTTAATTGCGAGAAGGCGCGGCGGGGACACGGTTCTGCTGCTGCTGCTGCTGCTGTTTTTGTTGCTCCTTTGGTGTCATTGCGCCAAATGAATTGTGGTACCACTCCATCGCCAGCAGCATCCGCTCGGAAGAGGTGACGGGACTTGAGACCAAAGGCCTCGGCGGCTGTGGGCCGTCGTTTTTGAGTTCCGTGTGCCACCGCAAAACGATCTGCTGCGCCATTCCCGCCATTTGTGCAATGGCGTTTGCTGCATTGTCGGTAAGAGCCCCCTTTTGCGTGCAGAGCATCTCCGCCGCGGCGGACAAAACGGCTATGTCACGGTACATCTGTCGCATGACGGCATTCCACCGCTTCGTCGCGGCCGTCTCGCTGAGAGATGCGGGCCTCTTTGGGAACCCGCAACCGCTTCTGCTGCCGACAATGAGTTTGTACATCCACGTCACGCGCTGTGCAACATCCACCGGCACGATACGCTCCCGCAGCATCAAGTTAGCCCTCGTCATGATCTGCCGCGATGTCATCGCCATTCCATCGGGGCTGTTCGTCCCCCGATGGCCCATGGGAAAAGGGGCGGCCATTTCACGCGTCGGAGTTAATTTTGGGCCGCCCGCTTCCAGTGGAAACACCGTCAGAATCGCCTCAGCTAGTGCCAATGGATAACAGTCAAGTAATGATCCGTCAACAAGCAATGGACCAAGCAGTGGGCAGCTTACGCCCCCTGATGACATC